CCAAAGAGTCTCCAGTATTACTGCCCCCTAGAGGAAGATACTGCAGTTGTTTTGACTGAGTTTTGAATTCAAACCTTTCAAATTCATTTAAAATCAATACAGTCTTCTATTTCAACTTCAAAAGGTGTGTCTTGTTACTGGTTTCTAGAAGAATATTTTAATGTTGGTTTTAGTCACAGAAATATGAGAGAAAACATTCAGCTGAAACTGAATAGCCAATTAAACTGTTTATTAAGCTGATCAATCAATACATCAATTAGTTAAAAATTCTATTTTCGAGCTCATTTTCAAAGGGTCCATTTTGTTTGTATGTTTATTTAAAAAAAAAAAAACACTTTAATGTTTTGTAAGAGGGATTTTTTTAGTACTGTCCTGAGTAAGATATTTTGCATCAAAGATGTTTACATATAGTCCACAAGACAAAATAATAGCTAAATTATGTCAGAAGCTTCAGAAGAAACCCAGATGTTTCCCAGAAGACAAAATTAGTACAATTTACCCAGAGTCTGTGAGACCTGGAGAGTTTTTCTGTAAAAATGAATGTGTTAACAGATTCAAATTTAATTCAATAGCGTGCATCCTGATTTACATATGATAGTAAAAGATGGCTGTAAATATCGTTCTTTGAACAAGTAACAAGACACACCTCTTGAAGTTTAGATATCAAACTGTGCGCATTCTAAATTAAGTTATTTAAATTTCTGAATGTCAAACTTTTATACATTTCACAAATGAAGCTTTTAGATGGAATAATTGTGCTTTTTGCTCTTCGTTTTGCACTTTGCAGACGGTCCCTATCCTGCACTTTTACATTATACGGTCTATCAGTTACAATACCTTAAGGCAGATTAAAACAAATAAAACACATTGTGTGTTCTTTTCTACATTTGAAAACAATTATAACACATTATGTTTCTTGTCCTTGTGCTAAATCGTTAAAGAACTATTGAAGATTTCCGAGGCTGAATCTCTGACAAATGTCAAACCTCAAACGTCGAACCAACTTTAAATCGGTATGTTGCTGGTACTGAATGCTCTTTATTTTTAATGGTTTTATATTTTGTCAGTTTCTGGACATAACAAAAATATGTGTTTTAGTTACTTTATTGCTATGAATGCAGTTATTAGACATTCAAACTATGATCAATATGCAAAAATTATGTTTGATGTAAGTGATGTTATTAGTGTATTTCTGTATAGATATAAATTCTGTATCATATTATGAGACAATCATATTATGTTTTATTAGAGCAGTTTTATAGTCTTTCAACAAATATTCTTACTTTATTGAAGATGCAGGACAACCACCTAGCAGATAACCAGCTAGCATATGAATCTAAATATACTTCGTTTTTCTAATAACATTTATAACAAACTAGTTTCCTCGTTGTGTATATGAAGATAAACCAGACAAAACCTTCTTTAGAGAACTATAGATGTTAGCAGG